TCATCACCATCATCATCTTTATCATCAATACATTATCATCATCACCACCATAATCAATACATTATGATCATCATTATCATCATCCCCATCATCGTTGTCATCAATACATCATCATTATCATCAAAACATCATCATCATCATCATCTTTATCATCAATACATTATCATCATCACCACCATCATCAATACATTATGATCATCATTATCATCAATACATCATCATCATCAATACATTATTATCAGCATCACCATCAAACAACATCAGCAGCATCATCCCCATTTTCATTGCCAACATCAAAACATTGTTTCTCTTGTAATGTTGATTTTAGTCCCTTTTATTCCCGTTACAGATACCTTGTTATATTTAAGACGACAATGCCTTGCAAGCTTGGTAGTGATATCCTATTTCCATCACACTGGTAATAAAAAACACAAATTAAACAATATAAGATGCAGCTTCTTTAATTTTATTTTTTTCTCTCCTTATTTGTTGTTGTTGTTTTTTTGTTTCTGCTTAGTTTTGATTGTAATGAGGACTTCTAAATGTTGAGCAATTAAATAAAAAAAGATATATTCCATTTGCCTTGTGCTTACCTCTAGTTTGACTCTCTGGTCCAAATTCTTGTATGTTCGCTGCACGAACTCCTTTCCTCCCAAGAAGCCGTACCAAATCATGTTTTTCTTGCGACTCCTGATATTCAAGGAAAACAGTATTCTTAGTGATAATTACACTGCTAAATAGAAAAATATATCTGAACTGGATTGGAAATACAATAAGGCTTTCTTTATGGAACTCCCTGGGGTGAAAATCTGGTTGTGGGCATAAAACAGGGATAATAAATGCACCACAGGGTAACCAACCTATATTTTTCTGGGTGTTCTTCTCGCCGGTTGTGAAAATCAAGGCAGATCTTGGCGTCTATTCCAATACCAAAGTAATTATTCATGGTGCATTTTTCATTATAGCCATCCCTAGATAATCCAAATAAAAGGAGAGAAATTAGGATGGATACCATGGCTGCCTGCACAACAGTCTGATGCACTGACTAACGTAAAGTGAAATAGGAAACTGCATAGGACACTCTCACAAATTGCATTCAGCCCCTTTAATCTTCCTCCCCCTGCCCCCTCCC